ATAATAAACAGTTAAATTAGTTTCGTTCTTAGTTATTCACTTGTTGTTATTCAGAAGGTTAATTCCGGTCAGCGGTCTTTATTGCTTTTGTCACGTCACTAACACGCGTGGAAAATCACCTTTTTCGCTCTCGATGACCGCCAATGATGTATTAAATATAGTCGAGTTTCTCGTTCAGTTGTAATTGCTTCATCACAGTTTCTTCCCAATCAGCCCTAACGTTCTTAGTTTAGATATTGTCAGTGTTTTTCTTCAGTTCAGTTTCAGTCGCTTCGCATTATTGATCTCTGCACTTGCTCCTTTGTGCTCCAACTTGTAAATCCAGTTCTTGTTCTCTTCTGTCGAGTCTGTCTTGGCCGCCGTCTCCTTGTGTTTTGTGCTCTTGGCGGTGTTCCGGCAGAACAAGATGAGCAGCAAAGACCAAATATGGGCATAAAAGTACAAGGACCTGTAAAACAGAGAAGACATTGCAATAAGTTTAGCTCGCCTTTCGCCTAACTGTCGATAGTCATTAATATTTGGACGTTGGTTTGTTTGATTGTTTTATTTTTGTTTGCTGTTTCAAGCAAGGTTGCTACTTGCCCTGTTACTGTTGCTACTTGCTCTAGCTGGGCAATCAGATTGAATTTTTGACCGATCCGGCGCGAAACCTAAACATCATTAGGTTGGCTTCCAGGCGTTTTCCTGCTTTTGGCAACCCTTCCCCACTCCTCTTCCGCCATCATTCCCACTAAAGGATACACAGGAGCAGAAATGAACAGGARAAGTAAACAGGAGAAGTAAATTAAGAAAACAAAACTACAAAGCAATGTACGTATGCGAGAGAGTAATCTCCCCATAAACGTTGAATTTGACGTCGACGTCGACTTGAACAGAACCACAACTGAGTGTCCGCTAAGGAAACCAGGCGTCCGCTTAATCGCTTATTAAATGTAATTAGTCTCTTTTTTTGTAGCCATTTTCAATCTTTAGCACGCGGGTTCACTAAGAGCAAGAAAAGATATCTGTAGTATTCGCATGTGGTCGGCCACTTCTTAGTTAACAAGGGAAATGGTTATGAAACCTGGCAAAGTTCTTTGTTGTATGTTTTTGTTGGCTATTTCCAGTGGGTTGACCCTGCACAAAACCTGGCAAACTACAAAAGGTGGTTATGAGTGCTCATAC